TTGCAATTATTGTTTATGAGTGCTTTAGTCAAGTGCTCTACACCTTTATCAGTTATCTTATTCGTTCCGAGGCCTAAGCTGTTTAGTTTGCAATTATTGTTTATGAGTGCTTTAGTCAAGTGCTCTACACCTTTATCGGTTATCTCATTCCTTTGGAGGCCTAAGCTGTTTAGTTTGCAATTATTGTTTCTGAGTGCTGTAGTCAAGTGCTCTACACCTTTATCGGTTATCTTATTCCCTTCGAGATCTAAGGTATTTAGTTTGCAATTATTGTTTATGAGTGCTGTAGTCAAGTGTTCTACCTGTTTATCAGTTATCGCGTTATATTCGAGGCCTAAGCTGTTTAGTTTGCAATTATTGTTTATGAGTGCTGTAGTCAAGTGTTCTACCCCTTTATCAGTTATCTTGTTATCTTCGAGGCCTAAGCTGTTTAGTTTGCAATTACTGTTTATGAGTGCTGTAGTCAAGTGTTCTACCCCTTTATCAGTTATCTCGTTATCTTCGAGGCCTAAGCTGTTTAGTTTGCAATTACTGTTTATGAGTGCTGTAGTCAAGGATTTTACACCCTCAACCGTAATACTGTTAGAACTGAGATTTAAGACTTTTAGGTTACAAAAGCCCTGATTGTGATCTTTGCCACCAAACAATTTGGAAATTTCTATACAACCCAATGCAGCAATATCGTTGAACTCTAAATCGAAATGCCAAATTTTTTCACCATTACATTGAAGTGCATGCACTAATGTTAAACAATCAAGAGGTGACAAGCGACATTTACTAAAATCCAGCGCATGGCAATCAATTTGGGTCAATCTGCTTTGAACTTCTAACCTGGATGAATTGGTTTCATACATGCAGTTGAATAAAGTCACCACTAGTTCTTTGTCTTCCTGAGCTGGCCAACAGGTCACTGTTTCAGTTCGTGCCTCTAACTCTTTTCTCCTGCTGATTTCGAAACTCACGTTTCTGGTAACAGATGATAAGGGAAGGAGGCCGCTAAAAATATCAGTTGACTGTTCCTCTTGTTGCAGCAGTCCAGCCACAAACTGCATCACAACTTTCCACGCTCCTTCCTTAATGTGATCTAAAACAAATGATTTCAGTTCTCCGTGACCCTTGGTGTCCACCAAATGCCTCGCCAAATTTGTTCATTTGCTGATAAGCAATTGAAATTTATGCTTAAAACGAAGGATAATCTTTATACTCATACGTTGCGTGTTTTTGTCACCGGTCAGGAGTTATTTGTAGGTATTTCTGGGTTTATATAAGGCGAACTGAGAGAACAGTAATAAGATGTTTGTTTACAAATTTTGTTTGCCGATCGGTGACTGCTTTGTTAGCGTGGGTACGACCTCGTAAAAATACACGTTGGTAAATGTTTGTTTCAAAGCAGGACACGGCTGTAAATCTTATTCTTATCGGCTGTAACATATATCTGAGGAGTAGCAAAGAATAAACTTGAATTATAGGGATAAATAAAATCAAACCAAATGCCCGGAAATACTCTCGCGTCGCGAACAATTAAGGTGTTTCGATACATTTTTTCAGAGGCCATACCGATATTTTTCAATCACCTTAAAAGTGTTTTTTTTCTTGTCCGATCGCTATAAAATTTTCACCAGCAATTGGCGTTGGATTGAAATTTGTAAAAATGTAGTTTTAAGCAAAATCGATATTACTATGACAACAATAAACAAACAAAATGGAAATTGATAAAAGCCGAATTTTGCGCAATCTAGACCCGCTACTAAAAA